CGCGGGGTTGCGGAATAGACACACACAACACTTTTATGATATTTTTTATATGTAAATATCGACTTTTTGGGTCAATAAATTTTGTAATGAAAATAGAAGCTCCGATGATTATTTTGGTACCCTCACTTAAATATTACTTCCACTCGCGTTTATTAGTTTGTTTGAGAATTGACCGGAGGTAACTTCAGTTACAGGCCATCACAGTGCTTAACCTTTGAGTACGGGGAGCTGGTTATGACAATGTCTCATGTGTATTTATATTGGAGGAGATATCCCTAATTTTCCTATTGCACGATCCATACTTCTATATCTATGAAATATGGGTTCAAAGTATATAATTTAACAATTTTAACCGATTATAAAAAAAAATAAAATAAAAATAAAAAGATTGCTACATAGGAAAACATGTTTATTTATATAATTTTTCATACAATTTTTTACTTTTTATATCAATAGAAATTGATGTTGAATATTATATTTCATTTTTGGGGGGCGAAATAGATCAATCTAAAGAATGATGAGAAAGAAAAGAAGACTAGAGAATAAGCATAAGAAAATGGAAGCAGAAGAAGAAGGCAACATCATCACAGCCATGTAAAGAAGAAGATAGCAACATAGAGGAAAAAAGTAGAGAAGATAGTAACGTAGACAAGAAGAAGAGAAGAGAAGAGAAGAAAATGAGACAGAAATTTAAGAAGAGAAGGGAAAAAACAAAAACAACAACGTGAGGAAGAATTTTTGAATTTGCAACCTAGGAGTGCCTTATTGAAGTCGCTTGGCCTGGAACACTACAAGGCGCAAGCATTGGGCTTGGATGGGATTTGAGCCCAGGTGCACGCCTAGACACGCCTTTAATAACACTGGTTCTTTGAAAATATTCTATGATTTGCAAGTCTTTGTCCCCTCCAAATCTCCACCATAAACCAAATGCCTAGTATCAGGGAGGGAGGGAGGGGGGTCAAGGGGGTCCTGGCCCCTCCAAAAATTAGAGAAAGCACACTTTCGTATATGGACTACGAAAATAAATTGGTCTCTTCTATAGATTCTTATAATTTTTTAATTGGACCACTTATAAAGCTTCATGAGCCAAAGGCACGTGGAGTAATATTCAAATAATTATATGGTTTATGAGAAATGGGTAGCATGTCAAAATTGAGACAATCATCGGTCTTTATAATTTTTGATTGGTCCAACTAACCTATATTAAATAATTATTTAAATAGTTTAAACCCAACCTAACCCACCCCATACCTTCCATCTTTGGAGTGCGGCTCTGCCCTAGTATTCTCTCCCCTGCTAGTCTTCACAAGCAAGCCACCCAACATTTGTTTGTTATCCCAAATACTCAATTGTCATTTCATCAAACATCTTGCACACAATACCACCTCAAACACGGCACTACGACAATCCCACTCCCAAAGCAGGCATTTGAACCCTATCCCTATTCCCTACATTCTAACTAGCTACCAAGCATTCCAAAGTGTAAATCAATTGATCTCAACTCAACACTCCTTGATTGCACACCACTTACATTCCATACAAAACATAAAGTTGTTGACATTTGATTTCTCTCCTATATTAAACATTTCTACTTGGTCTAAAAAGCACAATGACAACACAAACATAACTACATATATATATATATAGAGAGAGAGAGAGAGAGAGTTCACCTGGGGATACAGTCCATAAACGCTGCCAATTGAAACGATGGAGAAGAATTTTAGAGTCCTCAGTAACCATGGCGAGTAAATCCTTTTCTGGGTTCCATTCTGCTATTTTAATCTGTCAATTCAAAAATGGATTAATCGAAAAATAAACAACTGGGTGTCACAGAACTATACAATATACTTGTAATCATATACTTTACACTTGCATATATATATATATAGAGAGAGAGAGAGAGATGAAATACCTGAGAAGGGAGTGGTTTGTCGAACTGAAGCTGAAATGGAAGAACCCTTTGAGCTTCATCTGTTTCCATTGTCTCTCTGCAAATATGGAGGAACAATGGCGCTCGATAATGAGACCTTGATTGGGAATAAGGGCGGGTTTGGGGATTTTTAAATTTGGTAGGTCAAAAATTTGTTACTAAGCCTCGTTTGGGAACCATCTTTTTTAGTCAAAAAGTCAAAAAATTACTAAATTAGCCAAAAAACCAATAATTCATACTAAAAAGTCAAAGATTCTCTTTTCTCTCTACTTTTTGCACATCTTTTCGTAAAAAGCCAAAAAGTCATCCCAAACATACTAGTTTTTTTTAGCTCATATTTTAGCCAAATAGTCACTATCCTATTTAAGTCATATCATCTTATTTAAATCACATCACTTCTCTAACACATCACTTCAAACCCAACCCAAATCCAACTCATATTTCATTAAAAGTCAAAAAGTACACTTATTTAGTCTTCCCAAACTTGGTCTAAATGGTTTTGCTTCCACTTAAAATCAAATAAAATAATAATATAAAAAAAAAAGAGAGTGAGATTTGGTTCTGAGAAAAATTTATTTTTTTATATTCTATATTTTAATATTTTTAATGAATTTTTTTAATATTTTAAATATTTTTTTTTAATTTTTAAACACACCTAACATAAATATACTTAAAATATAATATTTATGAAAAAAAAATCTTTAAAAATACACTAAATATCAAAAAATACAAAAAAAATATGAAAATTCAGTACATTTTTTTATATTTTTTTATATTTATGAATTTTAAAAAATATATTTTCACAAATATTTTAAGTTTATACCATTTATTTTTTCAAAAAAAAATAAATTCTTTTGTCTTTATTAATTTTTTTTCTTAAATTTATGTCAAAAAAAAAACTAACGTTTTTAACACGTTAAGTGTACAGAAATTTAAAAAAAAAATATCATTGAAAACAAAAAAAAAGAAGTCATAGTTGATTTTTTTCAATTTTTTAAAAAAATTTACTTTTTTGATTCATCTAAAGTAGGTTTTAAAATATTTTTTGAAAATTTGAAAAAAAATAAAAAAATTGAAAATGAAAAAATAAAATCAACAAATAAATTATTAAGAAAGTCAATTCCAAATTATCCCTAAAAAGTGAGTGGTGAGCCTGGTTGAGATTAAGGCCAAGTTTGGCTAACCTAAAAAGTGTACTTATTTCATCTTTCTATCTTTTTTGGGTCACATCAATCAACATCTCCTCTCTATTTTTTCTACACATAATACAAAAAAATTCAAAAAGTGCACTTATTTAATCTTCCCAAACTTGGCCTAATTTGATTTAAGGGTAAAGTAAGCGTCAAATTATTATTTACAATTTATAAAATTCATGCAAGATCATATCATAAAAATATTCTTGATTTGAGTTTTCTAGATTAAGGGCTGGTTTGGGGTGTCCTAAAAAAGTGCAATTTTTGTCTTTTTAGACTAAAAAATACAAAAAAAAAATATAGAGGTTTGGGTTAACTTTTTGACTTTTTATGAAAAAATGTGTATTAAAAAAATTGTATAAAAAAAGTTTGTAAGAGATGATAAGAGAGGAGTGGGCCCCAGCCGTACAACCGACTGTATAACCGGCTGCGTAATTTGAGTTGGAAATTATTGGCTAATTTTTGTACAAAGCATTGGACGGTTTTGTTTGACCCGTGGGGTCATCACGGGTCCCATTTTAATAATTTGAACCGTTCAATGTGTGTAACTTGTCGAACACTATGTACTTATAAAAAATCACGTTAATCGGATATCGATAGCTATCTGATTAGATTTATTTATTTTTCAATCATTAATTATAACACTATCCATTTGTTGTACATAACTGATTTGATCATATAGTTATCGATATCCGATCAATGTGATTTTTTTTTTTAGACATATAGAACTCGACGATTTCTATACATTGAACGGTTCAGATTATCAAAACGGGACCCGTGATGGCCCCCATAGGACAAACAACGGTGTGTGTAAAAATCACACCCAATCATTTCTTTTTTCTCACTTACGCACACAGCAGCCGCACTTTATTGAATTCGGTGTGTACTTTTTGGAAACAAAATTTTTTTTTTTTTTTTTGAATAGTGATTTTTTTGGTGAATATGATATCTTTTTAGATTTTAGAATAACTTTTTGACTTTTTGGCTTATATAGAATAAGCCAAATCAGCCCTAAATTTTTTGAAAATTGAATTTTTTTATTTTCGTATTCTTTTGTTTTTAGTGAATATTTTTTAATTTTAAATATTTTTTTTACTTTTTTAGATGCATCTTAGTTAGATGTATCTAAAAAGTAAAAAAAATTATGAAAAATATTTTAAAAAATTAATAAATACATAGAAATACAAAAAATATACTAAATTCTTATATTTTTTTGTATTTTTGGTATTTAGTGAATTTTAAAAAAAAAAATTATAATTTTTTTACTTTTTAGGTGTATTTATGTTAGGTGTGTCTAAAAAGTAAAAAAATTGTTTAAAATATTAAAAAATATTATTAGATTTTTTAAAGGTAAAATTGTCAATTTGATAAAATATAAACTAATTTGACAAAAAAAATATCAAAAAAATATTTTTAATTTTTTTAAATTTATTTTTATCCACCAATGATAAAATTATGTAAAATTAATAAAAATTACATGATTAATTTTTTAAAATTAAATTTACACGATCATCATCCAAACACATAATAAAAATTAATTTGAAATAAATAAATAAATAAATGTCTAAAAGATTTATCAATTTTACATAATTTTATTTTTAATAGGTAGAAATAATTTTTAAAAATTCAAAAATATTTGTTTGACATTTATTTTTGTCAAATTAGTTTATATTTTATCAAATTGATAATTTTACCCTTGAAAAATCTAATTATATATTCAATTGTCCTTATTTGGAACAAGATTCAAAATTCGGGGTCAAATGTGTCACAATTAAAAAGTCAGGGATCAAAATGATACAAGCTCCAAACTATAGGGACTATTTGTGTAATTTGCCCTAAATTATATATATCTAAACAGTCCAAACTGAAGTATGCATTGATCAAACTAGATCAAACTAGTCTGGATAGGACTAGTTTGTGATTTTTTTTTTTTAATTTTTCTCAACCCTATAAAAAATCACTACATAAAAACTAAAGCCATTGAATTTAATTTTTCATTTACAAAAAAAAAATCAATTAACTTACATCACAATGTTGTCCTGCTATCACAATTGCTCGCAATTATAATAATCATAATACTAAGGGCTGGTTTATCATACCTTAAAAAAGTTAAAAAACTAAAAAATTACTAAACAAAATTAAAAAGTTGTCATTGTTTATAAATATATATATATATATATATATTAATTTTACAAAAAAAAGTATAGCTCACATGTCACGTAAATTGTAGTTTAGTTGCCCACCATTTGTATAAAGTAGGGGTGAGCAGCGGATACACTGATCCGCCAAAACCGACCGAACCGAACCGAACCGATCCGCCGCATTTTGGTTTGTATAAAATAGGGGTGAGCAGCGGATACACCGATCCGCCAAAACCGACCGAACCGAACCGAACCGATCCGCCGCATTTTGGATGGATGCGTGATGACGAGTGGACGGTTGCGGATTGATTTTCTCCAATCCGCCAATCTAGTAGACGGATGGCGGATTTGAGATTCTTTTGGCCGCAACCGAACAGCCAAACTGCGAACACCCCTAGTAATTTATAAGATTTTGTGTTTTCAGTTTGTTTAAATATTCTATTTGTATTTTAAATTAAAAAAGAGTTTAAATATTCTGTTGAAAAAAAGTTTTCAACTTGAATATCTTTTTTGAATTGAAAAAAATGAATGTATTATTTATCTATATTTTTTGGTTTTTAAATCTATCTCTAAAAATAATAAATAGAAAATATAATATATGCTGGTTGGTTTTTGTTTTCAAAAATAGATATAGATGTAACAATACAGAGACATACAATTTCTATTACTGCTCTGTTCATGGTTTTGATGGTTTGAATTGTTTTTATATTTCAAGAACCACATATTGTAATACTCTATGTGAATGAGGCATGCTATGATTGTAGTATGTGGATGAAGTATGCAATGATTGTAATATTCTAAAATTTTAAATTTTCTTGCTTTGGATGAGACATGCAGTGATTGTAATATTTTTTTAAGTTATTAACTGTAATACTTTTTTTTTTTTTGAGGAAGTGCACAAGTTGAATTATGTTGAAAATTTATAAAATTTCAAACCGCCAAACCGATTCGCATCCACCTGCCAAACCGCATATCCGCTCAATCCATATCCGCCGGATTGGCGGACGGATGTGGATTGATTTTCTTCAATCCGCCAATTTGGTGGACGGATGGCAGATTGGAGGTTTCGTAGCCGTAACCGACCCGCGCCCACCCCTAGTATAAAGGGAACAGGTGGAAAAACAAACAAGACGGTGCTATTCGGCCTGTGGGGGTCCATCACGGGTCCGTTTTGATAATCTGAACCGTGCAATGTGTAGAACTCGTCGAGTAATATATGCCTAAAAAAATTATGTTGATCGGATATCAATAACTACATGATCAAATTAGCTTTGTATAAAAAATAGATGGTATTATAGTTAACAGTTGACAAAAAATTAATCCGATCACATAGTTATTGATATCCGATTAACGTGATTTTTTACAAACATATAGTACTCAACGAGTTCTACACATTGAATGGTTTCGATTAGCAAAACGGGACCCGTGGTGGGCCCTCACCGGCTAAGCAGTACCGTCAAATTCAATGCCCGAAAAGGAGGCAAGCTTCTCCTATACACTGCTCTGCCCACCGTACTGCCTACTCTGCCTAAGCTTCTCTTATACACTAATTTATACAATTTTTTAATACACATTTTTTCATAAAAAGTTAAAAAGTTATCCCAAACAATCATATTTTTTCCTCAACTTTTTAGCCAAAAAAGTCAAAAAGTACACTTATTTAGAACATCCTAAACAATCCCTAAGTGTATTTTTTCAAATCTTAAGGGATAATATTTTGAAGGTAAACGATGGGAGATCTGGTGAGAGGATAAGGTTTCAAAGATAAGAGAGGAGATTTGGAAAGGGGCTAGGGTTCAAGGGTTGGAA